GCTTCTCCCTCTGACCCTCCCCCCTCTCATGTGCTCTCTCTCATTCTCTCTCTCTCAAATAAATAAATAAAATCTTTAAAAAATATATATATATATAATACTCATTAAATCTTTACTATAGGGGTGCCTGGGTGGCTCCGATGGTTAAGCATCTGCCTTTGGCTCAGGTCATGATCCCAGGGTTCTGGGATCGAGCCCTGAATCGGGCTCCTGGCTCAGCAGGGAGCCTGCTTCTCCCTCTCCCTCTGCCTCTCCCCCTGCTCATGCTCTCTCTATCTCTGTGTCTCAAATGAATAAATTTAAAAATCTTAAAAAAATTAAAAGTAAATAAATCTTTACTATATGCTAGACATTTCCTTCAGCTGCTTGGATCATACCAGTGATGAAGACAGACCAGACCTTAATATCCTTCTAGATGCCTTTAAATGCATGAATTTAAAGTATAACTGTAGTTCAAAGACATCTAAAGAGATTAAGATAATTTCTACACTAGAAAATTCATGTGGAACCCTAATTTACTAAGTGTTTACTAAAACCAGATGTTATATTAGTCCCTTTAATATGTGGTACTCATTTAATAAAGTTGCTGTCCTGCAGAGACGACAGTACTATTTAAAAGAAATTACAAGAGGCCAAACAATGAGAAAATTCTTTCCTTTAGCAGTTTAAATTTGGCTTTCCACACTAGAGGGAATTCTCCATCCTAAAGCTGTCAAGAATGACTTATGACAGAGTTGTGTCAATTCATTCACACAAGAAATTTTTTCATCTTAGTTCAACTACATCAACTGTGAGAAGACTTGGGGATTAAAAAAAGAAAAATCACGTTGTCATAAGAATATATTTCCAATTTCACATTTTTTAAGTTGAAATTATGCAAACTGTGTTTCAAGCATGATGTATAAACTACCTACCCATATTAAGCCACATAGCTTAAGGATAAATTAGTACTAACGAATATACTGCGAGACAAAATTAATAAATACACATTACTAGGTGCAGTGATCAGTCCTTTAACTTTACAAACACTAGTCCAAACATCACTCAGCTCAATCAGAAATCCACAGGACTGTAATTCTGCCCCAAGCAAAAACTGGGTGACAACCCAAAGATGTCTCCAAACCATTTTGATAATAGAGTTTGTTGTTTCGTTGTGTTTTTTTTAAGTATTCAGGTGAAGCTATTTGATTCCAATCCTGCACACACACACACCCCCAAAAAAAAATCCTTTTTAAAATTGTTAACGGAAATAGGAAACTGCCAATTGGGATCAATTTGTAAGTTTCCGGGAAAGCTGATACCCGCCAACCCTGTTCCCCCAACTCCAGGTAGAGACTGATTCCAAAATGGGATTCACTCCTCATTTACGCCAAGGATCATCCATTCCCTTCGCCTTCTAAAGGACAAACGAGCTCACCCTTCCCGTGAATAACTTGGCTTGTGGCTACGTTCACACAGTGGCTGGAGCGCAGGCACTCGGGCCGCCCCCGCCCCAGCACTGGCCGCTCAAGTCTGGACAAGGGCCAGCTCTTGTCACCTCTCGACCTGCACCCCTCCGCCCCCGCGGTACTCCCGAGCCGTCCACCGGCAAAGTTTCCCCGCCGCTCGCTCGGGGGCACAAGCCAGGGGGCCTCTCGGGGTCTCCGGGACCCCAGAGCTCCCGGGGTTACCGGGACGAAGACCCGGTCCTGCCCTGATTACAGAAGCAGGCTGAGAAAGCCAAAGCAGCCTCGGCCATACAGACGCTGGGGGTGCAGACAGAGCACCGCGGATGCAGGAGGGGTGTGGGGACGTCAGGAGCGGGCTCGGCGAGGCCGCCGCCCCGCGACCCGGACTCGCCCGCGCTCACCGTCGATGTTCTCCCGGTCGCTGATGTGCTGCAGGTTGCAGCCCGTGTCCTCGCGGCTCAGGTCCGTGTCGGGCCGGTAGGACTCCAGCCGGGAATGGGCATTCCTCCGGAGCTTGGGGCTGGACGACACGCAGCACGAGGTAGTGTTCCCCATCTTCGGTGGCCCCCAGAC